CTGGAAGCCCCACCGACCCAGGGAAGGTACAATGTGATCTTTGATTCTCGATTGAAGGATCAAAGCAAGTGAGTTTAGTGTAAATGCAGATAACATTTCAGAGGCCATTTCATGAAAGGAGTCAGCAGACCAGGGCAGAAAGGGAGCTGCCTTGTTTGTTTGCCTTGAGAAGGGTCATTTTCCAATGACGTTGGCTGCATAAAGCCTCGGCGACTTCTGGCCTTCATCCAGGCCCCCAATTCCAGGGTACAAGGTCCTGGGCTCAGGATCTGGCAGCCTCTCCCACCTCCAGTCCAGACACAGTGGGAGCACAGGGGGTGTTGTGGGGCGGTACCCATGCCCATAAAGAGCACCTAGTCTCATGCTCTACTCACTTTTCCAAAGTCTCTGGGTGCTGACTGGGCATGCCACTCCTGGGCAGCAGGCCTGGGCTGGGCACAGCCCCGTGGGGAGGCCCTGGCTGCTTGCCCTCATTGTCCTCCCAGGGCCCAGCCTCACACCAGGTCTAGCATGGCACCAACCCACCCATGATGAGAAAACCTACAGGCTTTTCAGCAACCTCTCCTCCACAGGTCCCTGCCCGCCAACCCTGAGGCATGAAGGCGGAGGGTCCTTGTGGCCAGCCAAGCCCTGCCCCCTCACTCCCAGATGGAGATCTGTTGAACCAGCCCCTCAGGCCCACAGTCTGGTGTGAAGACTCAGTTGGGGTCTCCAGCAGCCAGCACTGACTGGGGAGGTAGGTGTGGTTGGCACAACCCATAGTGTCACTGATCTGGTCACTGATCTTGTGGACAGTCTTCCTCTCTCTCAACGAACCTCCCCTTTTCCAAGCAGGATGTCTTTTCCCAAGACCTGGTCCCTTCTGACAACAGGCCCAAAATATCTGAAATGAAGTTTCATCATCCTTGCCTCCGAAGAGCACTCTGGTTGCAGCTTCTCCAGGACATAGGTTTGTTCTTTTGGTGGTCTACGGGATATTCAGTGCTCTTCTCCAACACCACAACTCAAAGGCTGGCCTGCCATCCCACTTCTGCTATTCCGTTCAGGTTTATGGTCAGCAGGTCCCATCCCTTGCAGACCCTCTGTGAACAGCTCCTCCCCCATGGTCTCACTTCCGTTATGCTTAGCTCAGCACCCCTCCTGAGGATCAATCAGCACCTGCTCCCTCCCACAAGTATCCCATGTCCAGCCGACTTGAGGGCAGTAAGAGCATCGCCCCCTCCTTAATATGGGCCGAATGGTCTTTGATGGTGGACCATGGTTCTTTCTTGTTACTGGGTGCCACTGAGTCAAATACGACTCACAGCAACTTATGAACCTAGGATAAGAACGCTGCGCTATGCTCATCTGTGACACACTTGAGTCCATTGCTGCAATCCATCGTATTCAGAGTCTTCCTCTCTTGTCGCTGGTCCTCCACCTTTCCTAGCATGATGTCCTTTTCCAAGGAATAGCCTCTCCTCACAACATGTCCAGAGGATGCAAGATGAAGCTTTGGCATCTTTGACTCTACGGAACACTCTGGTTGCACCTTTTCCAAGACATAGCTTTTCATTTGGCCATCCATGGGGTATTCGGTACCCTTCTCCGACATCACAGTTCAAAGCCATCGATTCTTCTGTCTTCATTATCATTGCGCAGCTCTCAGATGCACAGCTAGTGGTTACGGCTCTTGCTTAGTGGTAAGGACCTGCGCTGCAATCCGGACCGCACCTCGTTCAAATGCACCAACAGCTTCGAGGGAGAAAAATAAGCAATCTGAAAACCCCCTGGAGGGTTAGCTATGGGTTGGTTCTGACTCAGTGGTACATAACAGCAAATAGCTCTTAATTTCCCAGACCCAATGCTTCCCAAACCCTTTCTCCCTTCGCTTCCCACCATCGCCCCACCCTCAAGAGGCGGGAACAAGACAGCAGGGAAGCCCAGACCCGCCCTTCTGCGCCTGCGCACGCGGGTCCTGCTGCCCTCTGGCGTCGGGCGCGGCGCCGGCAAAGGCGCGCGCTCCCATTACTCCCCGCGTGGTGATGCCCTGTTGGCAGCGCCGGGAGCGCCTGCGCGGCCGAGCCTCACCGCACAGAGCGCAGGCGCGATGGGAGGAGCGCGGTCTGGAAGGCGGGCGTGAGGCGTGCCGGGAACTAGCGCGCTGACGTGTGGCGGCCGCGCGCACGCAGGGGGCGTGGGTCCAGGTCGCTGTCGCGGGGCCTCGGCGCGACGCTGTTAGGAACCGATTTTTGCAGCCTGCAGCTGGAGGGTTAGTGGTGCTGCGGGAGTCCGGCGTCCCGCGGGGAAGAAAACCTTGTAGCAGGCCTGGGATCGTGCCCCTCCAGGCTGCCCCAGGTCCCTGTCCGCGGAGGGGACGCTCGGAGTCGTCTGGTCCCTCGTGCCCTGCCTGCTGGCGGGCTTTGGGTTTTCGGCCCGCATCGGGGACTGGGAGGTGGGGTGGAGAGGCGCCTGGAAGCATTCTCCCTGCCTTGGGAGGTCGTGCCGCGTCCCAGTGCAAGTCAGCCGAACTTGTTCTTCACTTTCTAGGTGGCGCGTTGCTCTCGATGTCAGGCTGCAATTCTGTGGACCCTCTTTGGCGTGCAGGTAGGTAAGGGGTCGGTCTCTTTGGTGCCGTGGGGCTGGTGAGCTCATATCCTGCATGGTGGTTGCCGAGGATGCAGCGATCTGCCCTCAATTTGTCTATGAAGCTCTGAGGAGGTTATTTTTTTTACTTTGGGGTGGGATTGCCCAGTGTCTCCACCGAGCGGAGAACGCCCCGCGATCCGTGCATTTGGCTTTGCAGAGGTGAACATGCCCCCGCCCGGGTAGGGCTTCTTTTGCTAGAGCGTCGTCTAGCGCAGGAGAAGGGCCGAAATTCTGCAATGCCGGACGGACTGGGTGGGGAGAAGCAGGCTGATCTGTGAAGGATGCTGGGCGGACCAGTGTTCTCCAAGAGGTGAGCGTGAGGCCCAAGTTTATGAAGGCTAAGGCGGAGTCAGGGCTGACTGGCTGGGGAGCATTCTCCTTGAGGCTGCAGGGAACGCACACAGTGGGCAAAGTGACAGATGAAGGCTGAATGAGAGAGGGAAATCGAGACTGAGAGAAATGGCAGAGGTCTGGATTTCTGGTCACTGAAGGGCCAGGACGGTGCTCGGGAGTGGATTTAGGCACCTGCTGCCCACAGGGCCCCGTGCATGCTTTTCTGGGAAGCCAGGGTTATGAGCTGGGCTTTGCATTGAAGATCATCAGGTTGAAGGATGTACTTGTTTGGCTCCGTGTGACCAGGTGGCAGTTCTGCAGGATTCCCTGTGAGACACTGGGCAGGAAGATCCCATCTTATGCACCTCTGTGGAGAGTTCACTCTGGGGGTGGTAGGTGACTATGAAGACAGGTACAAGATGGCAAAAAGGCGGGGATACCCCTGGGTATGAGCTGGAGGAGTGCGAGGAGGCCATGTGTGTAGATGATGTAGGATAACTTGCGAATAGAGGGGTAAAGCTTAACATTTAGTGGATGCTCCTGAGTGGGCTGGTTTTGCACTAAGATTGGGGAGGTGGCTACAGACAGGTGGGGCAGTGTAAGAGCCTAATAGTCAGAGGAGGGCCTCACACATTGATACTGAGAACTGGCAGCAGTGGAGCTTGTTGTCACCGCTTGGATTTCTCTGGGCTTCCCAGGCTCGGTGGCTGGCTGGCACGTGGGAAAGGAAGGGCAGACCTGGCGCCTAGAGGACTCCTGACCTTCTACGTGGGTGACTTTGCAGGGATGAGAGAAGGTGCAGCAAGTCAGGCTCTGGGTTTATACACTGGGGTCATGGGAAGCAAGAAGTTATCTTCTGAGTTAGAAAGAGGATGGTGGTGTTGGGGTGGGAATGGCATGGGCTGCAAGTGGACTGTAGTGAGAAAAGGAAGTTTGGAAAGCATTAGGTCAGGGGGAGGAGAGACCAGGAGAGACCTGTGGGCTCCATCCTTGGTCAGATGCGTGCAGGGGACACCTGGCACTGTGTGCAGTGCTTTGAAAGAGAGGGGAGATGTATAAGACATGTTGTGGTGTTCGGGGAGTCTAGCAGTGCGCCTCTCAGGTAATTGGATGTAGTTTCTAACCTGCATGGTAGGTAGTGATAAACTGAGTAATTTCTGGATCCAGGCTTCCTGTGGTGTGGCCGGTCATGCTTTGCTGCTGTTTCTACATGTATTTGGGGAGATGGTGGCACCAGCTTCATCTGGGCATTGTTGGTCTTGGGCACCGATAAGTCCTCAGTGAAATGTTGCTTTTACTCTTCTCCTTGAGCAGCCCTGGTGCTGCAATGCTTCAAACATTGACCATTGACCCAAAAGTTGACGGCTCTCAAACCTGTCAGTGGCTCACAGGAGAGAAAATGAAGTGCCTAGTGTTCACCATAAAAATTGCAACCTCTGAGTCTCCACTCTGCCGTACAAGGCCACTGTGAATTGGGATAGGACTTGAGATTCCCTGACAGCTCAGCTGGGAGGTTTTGAGAAAGCATGGAGGGCGGGAGAGGTTATGGGGGCAATCACGTCCCCTTTCCATCGCTTGGGATTGACAGCATCTTCTGTACCCTTTTGCTTGACATGTCACGGGCACCGCTTGCTTGCTTGCTTGTGTGCGTCTCCACCCTCCCAGAGCAGGCCCACTCGGCGCTCTTGGTAACAGGGGCTTGTCTGCCTGCCGCCGCCTCGCGCCAGCCCTGTGGGGATGGCTGGGCCGTGTTCCTGTTCTTTCCCACCTTGTTTTTTTGGACAGATTGCCTTGGATGAGGGCCTGCATCTGACAGTCCCATCAGCTCTTCTCAGCAATCCTGAGGACGCAGCTGTCAGCACCCTGCTCCTCAGCCCTTGCCTGGAGCAGCCTGGCTCTGCCACGCCCCTGTTCAGCCAGTCTCCAGCCTGTCACATCCTTTGTTGCTGCTTCTGGCCACGCCTTCCCCTGTTGCTGCTGCTCTCTCCCTCCCTCCTTCTTTATTCCTAGTTGGAATGGCAACTCCATCAGCTCCCAGCATGTCTCGTGGCCAGAACCATCAACGGGGGCCTTTGTGAATCCCATTTGGACAGCAGCCCGTTATGCCAATTGGCAGTCATGGCACTTGGTAGACCGGGCCTCTCCTGGCATCATTGTCATTCACCTGTGGATCCCTGGCTTGCGTGCATCTGCTGTGGGGATTCCAGGTGCACATGCTCAGCCTTGAAAAAGAAGAGCTTGGTGAACCTCCAAGAGAGGGGCCTTCAGCCGCGTGCATGCTCATGCGTGAGCCCACAGGGTGGCCTTCGCCGGGTGCTGGCGGCTCCTTGGGGCTGCTGTACCACCTCAGGCCTAGCTGGGCGGTCTCGTGCCCTTCTACACCCAGTACTACCAGAACATCTCCTCCCCAGCTGCGAGATTCCCAGGTGTCTGACAAGCTGGACCACCCCTGTGTCAGGGGGCACCTGCCTTGCCTGACAGTAACGAGCTTATCCTCCGGGATCTCAAGGGGGGCACTCCAGGACCCCCATAAATATTACTGAATTCCAGGCTGCAGTGCCCAGACCCCAACTCTCCACTCCCGGCCTCGAACCAGCCACTCGTGGTCCTGTGGCTGACCTGTGATAAAACAGGACTTAGCTTCATTCTCAGAAGCCTTGCCTTTCAGCATGGGGGCCCCTCACGGGCCTGTCCCAGACACTCAGACCGTCTTTACCATTTCTCATTCTAACTCGACATCCAGAGAGGCCCTGCTTGAGCTGCAGCCAGCCAGGGAAAGCAGCCCTGAGTCCATAGAAGGCCTGTCCAGTCTATTCTTCATAAATCCGGTGACACCAGTCCTGTTGATGTGGGGCAGCAGGAGGTGGTCCCAGGCCAGCCAGCCCCTGTGCTTCCAGAATCTCCTGAGACCCCCAGCCCTGCCCTAGAAATGAGATCCATGTTGCCCGGGGACTCCAGGCCCCTGGAAGACAGGAGGTTTTTGAGAGCTGAGGAAGCCAGGAAGTTTAGGTAGCCTGCCAGAGGCAGTGACCGCTCAGGGGACCCCTGGAGAGTGAGCATTCTCTGTCAGTTTCTTTCTTTTATAATATTGTTGTTGTTGTTAAGTGCCGTCGAGTTACAGGCGACTCATAGCGACCCTATGAAGGAGAGTCCTCAATGCTTGGGTGTCTGTCATCCTCCCGGTTCATAAGGTTTCCGGAGGCAAGCTGTTACGGAAGTGGATGCCACTCCTCCTTCCAAGCTTGTTTTAATCGGGGAGCTCCACCCCACTCTCTGTCCACATTGGGTAACCAGCCATTAACCCATTTGACTCATCAGTGTCACAGTGTTCAACCTCACAGCAACCACAAGTGACCTCTGTACAGCACCTTGTACACCAGGGCTATAGGACCTAGAGGAATGTCTGAACAAAAACAAAGACAGGCCTGAGGGCCACGGGTTAAAAGTCACCCACCTTCGGCTTGGTAGCATTGCCTTCTGTCCACTGGGCCAACTGATCTCTCTCTCTATGTTGATGTTACTGTTAAGTGCCGTCACATCAATTGTTACATCAATTTCTTTCTTTTTTTCCCTCTGTCACTTTCAAGCCAGCGGCCTGTGACTCTTAACACTATCCAGGCAGGTGCAGAGTGGCCCTCAAGGTGAAGTGACCTGTTTTAGCCAGTGTGTCCCACACCTCCCAGGTAGGACAGTGACATTTGCATGTGACTCCTCACGTCAGCAGGGCGCTGTCATGCTCCTGGGGCGTTGCTCTACCTGCTGGCCTCGCCCTGGATGATAAATGAAAGCAAACATCGGAGCAGCAGAAGGTTGGCACGTACCCCCCTCCTTCACTTCTCCCACAGCCCCTGGGACATCGTCCCCCTTAGTTCTTACCTATGTGTTTACATGTCTGGGAGTGCCATGTCACCCATACAGTCCTCGGACAGATCAGACGCTGTCAAGTGTCTGAACCATCCTGAACTCTGCTAACTGGACCCCCTTTTTGTGAGTTTTTTTTGTCCCCCACATTGGCAGCACCGGCCTGCCATTGCCCTGCCTGTTCTGTCCAATTGGGCCCCCTTCCCTGTGATTTCCATCCTCTTGGCTGAAAATACATAAAAGGCTTCCCAGAAGAGACGGCCACTTTGATGCTTTAGTATGGGTGGGATGCTACCTTGGAGTAAGCGAAGTCCTTGGGCATGTTGGGAAGACGTGGATGTAGAAAGGTGAGCTGCAGGCTCTTGGCAAGGCCACTCCAGGCAGTGCCTGCTTCAGCAGAGAACAAGCATTCTGGGCACAGCGGCTTCCTTTCGAAGCTGGCGTGGCGTTTGCGTCCCAGCACCTTTGCGTACATGGTTGTGCTCCCTTTGGCAGGCTGGTCCCTGTCCTCACTTGCACGTTGTTTGTGTAGTTTTTCTCTCACATCGCTCATTCAACGTCGACAGCTCTTAAGAACATAAGCTCATGAGTCTCCCTGGTAGACTGTAAGCCTCTAGGCAGGGCTTGGTCTTAGCTTTCGTCATCGTCATTGGTGTTCAGTCACCGCTCATTAAATGTGCGTTGGATCAATGGCCAAGCGTGGTGTGCTTGTTTCTTCAGTGGGGGTGTTATACCTGGTTTTTTTTTCATCAAAGTCTCTGGCCCATTGACTTGGATGCTCACTAGCACGAACCTTCCAGCAGTTTGTAGCAGGGACTGAGGACCCACAGGTCTGGCTGGAGAAGAGAGGCTGACTAGGTCGGAAGGGGAAACTTGGCAGGTGGACGGTGGCCTTGAGGACTGACTTCTGAGAGCCGGAGGAAAGGAGCAGGCAGCAGACCACTCTCAGGCCTCCAGAGCCACAGGATTGGAATGAAGAAAGACCTGTTTTGTACAAAATGGGTTTTCACAGCCTTCTTCCTCAGGCACAATTTAACAGGATGGGAGTGCAGAGCACCTACCCCGACAAGCGACTGGGCAAGAATTGAAAACCCTCTTCAATTTTACAATTGTCAAAACAAGCTCTAACCACAAGAGAGAAAACCTCCCCAGAAAGTAGGAAGAAAAATGAAAGAGGAACATGGGCTGGAAGTAAAGCAGGTTTCTTTTTGGGGAATTCAATAATAAATATCAGTTAAAAATTTTTTTTAAGAAAAACTGTTGAGATGACTTAGCTCAAAAAAGGCTCAGGGTTCAGATGGTTTTATGGGTGAGTTGTTTCGAGGCACATGCTTTGCACAGGAAACTTGGCAGACCTTGTAATTTGGTGGGAGAGTGAGAGCCTGGTAGCAGACCAGTCGAGTTGAAGGAAGCGATGCAGGTCTAGCGTTTGATTGGCCATCGGGGATCCTGACATGCAGACTCAGCACCAGCTTTTCTGTGCTTGGCACTTCTGCACCTCTGGAGCTCAAGCCCGGACAGACTGCTCTGCTGCCCTATTTGTGGTTCCAGTATTAGGAACCAAAGCTCTTCATTGGGGCTGTGTGGAGCTGGAGGTGCCACCGGGGGTAGGTGGCTCCCATGCCCCAGTCAGTTCCCCGCTGTCTTGCTGGCCTCTGCCAAGGCTGCCCTTCTTTGTCTCTGCATGGTAACTTCAGGAAATACTTGGCTGAAGAGAGACAAGAGGATGGGAGGGCTCTGGCCTGGCCTTCCACACCGGAAGTACATGCAGTGGCGCAGAATGATGGCATGGCTCTGGCCTGCCATGGTGCCTTGCCTCCCAGCAGTTCTGGTGACACAGTTGCTTTCTCACTCCTCAGAGGAGAAAGACCAGAAGGAGGAGCAAAAGAGGAGCCATTCTCTGTGCGTGGAAGACGGGTCCTTTGGATCATTGGCCATTCTCAGGAAGCTTAGCAGTAAGGAGTTGCCCCGCCAACCCAAAAGTGCATGGTTCAAGTCCACCAGACGCTTTGCAGGAGAAAGACGGCAGACTCCTCCCATGCGATTAACTTTGAAAACCCACTGGATGGTCAGTTATGAATTAGTACATAGAAACAGTGCTGGTCAGAGTCTGAGGAGCACCCTGGGCGTAGGGGGTGGGAAGAAGGAGGAGCAGCATGGAGGGACAGACTGCAGAGGAGTGCACTGGGTGTGCAGAGGTGGGGGACCAAGAAGGGGTGCCCTGGGTGTTGAGGGGAGGAGTGCTGTGGGGGTGGGGAGGACCACGGAGGAGTGCCCTGGATGTCAGGGGGAAGATCTCGAATGAGCGCCCTCGGGGTGGAGGGTGGGGAGGACCGAGGAGGATCCCCCTGGGCATGTGGGGGAAAAGGACCACAGAGGAGTGCCCCGGACATTGAGGGGGGCAGTAGAACCTGGCAGGATGTATGGACGTGCTCAGGTGTGGACTGAGGGAGGCACCCAGGCCCTGCCACCTTTCAGTTTATCCTGCCTGTCCTTCCCACTCCTGGAAATAACCCAGAGAATTTTCCTCTTGGGGTTAGGACCTGGTGTGCCCTAGGGAAATATTTTAAAAAAAAAAAAAGATGAGGAAGAGAACAGAAGACGTTCTGAGGACAAAGTCCTATGAGATAACGAACCATTATGAAGCTGCTGTAAGTAAGCTGGCTGGACATTGGGGTGGACAAGTGAGCAGAGGAGAGTACGGAATGTTGAAGTGGAGCTAAGTACAAAGGGGAAAGGAGCTCGTGCTGAAGGCAGCATTTTAAATTGTTAGGTGCTGTTGAGTTGAGGACAACTTACAGCGACCCCAGGAACAACAGCCCTGAAGCCTGTCCTTCCTGTCCTGTGCCATCCTTATAATTTCTGACACACTTGAGCCCCTTGTGGCAGTCGCCGTGTCAGCCTGTCTGGAGGGAATAGCATAACAACATGCCCAAAATATGGGAGACAAAGCCATGTAATTTTTGCCTCCAAGGAGCAAGACTCTTTACTTTGTCCAAAACATGCCTGTTCTTTAGGCAATCCCTGGGAAAGTCAGTGCTCCTCTACAACCCACAGCTCAAAGGCATCAGTTTTTCCATCAGCCTTATTCATCATCCAGCTCTCAGATGATTGAAAAGACTGTGGCCTGAGGCAGGCGCACCTTAGTCCTCACATTGACATCATTGCTCATCAGTAATTTGGAGCAATCACTGACTGCAGACTTGCCCAATGCAGGATGTCTCCTCATCTGACTGCCAGCACCAAGGGTGTTGATGGTGGATCCAGGTAAGATAAAGTCGTTGACAATGTCAGTCTTTTCTCCATCTGTCATCATACGCTGTTGCCTGTTGAGCCAGTGGTGAAGATGTTATGTTCTTGACATTGAGAGTCTCGTCATCCTTATTAAAGGCTGTACTCTTCCTGCATCAAGTGCTTCATGCCCCCCTCACTTTTAGCAAGCAAGGAGGCAATCATTTCAAATTAATGGGGGTATAATTTGAGGAAGAGTTAGAACAGCTTGGGGGTGGGGAAGTTAAGCCAACTGAAAAGTAGTAAAATGAGATTGATACCCACCTTGTTCTTTGTGTCAGCGTGCATTCCAGGTGGATTAAAGAGATTTTAGCTTTAAAAAACTCAGCAAAGTGCTGCAGGGAAACAAGGGCGACTTTGTCGTGACTGTGACTGATGTGG